AGTGCCACTTTGGGCAGTGTAATTCCAAACTACACAGAAAACAATTTCCACTGTATATCTTGTGTGATAAGTCTGTCCTTACTGACTGCTTATCTTTACCCTTGTTTATTATTCATACTGCAGAAAGCATTACAGTTGCCACGTGGCATGTATACTCAGGGTCAGGCTCTTTTGAGGTGAATGGTGCCAGGTGAGTAGCCATTGTAGGTTCTTATCTGGTGACCAGTAAGTTGCTACCCCTGGGTAATCTGACATAATCAAGGCCAGAGGAAGGATTTGCTCTACACCTTGGATAAGGTTTCTATAGTATTTGAAGGCTGACAAAAGCGAGGATTGTAATTGGAACAGGCTTCTCTTATCAAGCAGTAGAATTAAATATCAGGAGTATTTTTTTAAAGAACAGAAATAAGAAACAGTATAGTCAGACATAAGTCACAATCATCCGAGGCATTCCTAGCTACTGGAGAGCGGGGGACGGGCGGGATAACGACTGCACATTCTCCTATGGAAAGTAGGTTAACAAACAAAAAGGGTCTTGAAACAGCTGGACACTGCCAAGGGACTGAGTGGATAACTTCACTTTTTCTTTCTTTAAAAGGGTTACATGATTGCTCATCAGCACAAGTGAATCAGTGGTTACCCTCTACCAAAGGTTTTCGAAATTACAAATAATTCCAAAAGTACATCGGGCATGGGCAATAGAAGAGTATCTTGTTCAGCACCCGAGATGATACTGGCAATATCCAAAGGAGCCGCTGGATGAGAAAGTGCTTCAGTTCAGCCATGCTGCTTGCAGCTACCCCCCTGGAGGTACTGTGAAAAGGATGAAACATTGGTTTGCCATCAAAAGTGAAGTAATTTTAAAAGGTGTATGTGTCACACATAGCAAAAAGAGAATACTTCCATCTGAAACCTGTGTCTGAAACCTATCTGGTTCTTTACACCAATGTACGGTTGCTTATGAAAAGTTAATGCAAAAATTCAATTGTCTTCAAGCACCTACAACACTCTCCCCCATTACTATAGACTGATATGGCTGTTATCTCTATGAAGTGATAGATTTTGCGTTCTGTTCTAAGGTGCTTTAAAAGCTTTCAACATGGTGGCTGTTTGTGGGAAACAATGATCATGTTCCTCATTGTAGGGAACTTTATAAGGCTGGTTGCCTGGACAACTTGAAAACCTGAGTGTGCAAGCAGGGTGTGTGTGTGTGTGCCTGTGAAGAATTGCAGGAGGGGAGGGGCACAATTTGGAAATCCTCCACCGTACCACCACAATACCCCCCTTGTACGGTCTGTAAATTTTCAGGGCTTGTGCAGGCTAGTTTTCATCCCCCCCTTTTCTTTAATTGAGTCTCAGCTGCTGTCAGTATTATGTGCCCCTGAAACATTTCCAGACCTCACCTATCTTGGGAGGGGTGGTGGTTAATTTACAAAGTCACAATTTTCTGCATAACAATGGGATTCCCTTATGTCAGAGGTCCATAACACAGTGTCCATGGGTGCTCACAGGGACCTTTCCTGGCACCCACCAAATGTTTTTAGAAAGTGGGAGGGGCCAGGTGGGACTTTTGCCCAGCCGCGCTTCTGATTGGAAACGGGAGATCTGATTGTCTGCGCTGGTTCAAAAGAACTGCCACAGCACAAGGTTCTTCACTAAAGACTAAAGATTAGCTGTGCGTATGCAAGAAAATATTTTAAATATTAAAAGCATCCTGAAGCAGAGCTTCTGCCTGAAATGTTGAAGTGTTACTGTTACAGTAATGCACAGCTTCACGCCCTGACATTTTATGCCTGGCTCTGCCTCCTGTGGCAACCATTTTGTGTTTGTGCCCACCACACTGTATCAGAAAGCCAAAGGTGCCCACAGGTTCAAAAAGGTTAGAACCTCAGTCTACATTATCTGTGGGAGATTGTCCTGCTTTTACTATCATGACTGGCTGGCCTTTTAGTGATGGGTATACTTTGCTTTGATGGTATCCCAGCTGAGCTATTCAAAGTCTTAAAAGATGATGCTGTTAAAGTGCTGCACTCAATTTGCCAGCAAATTTGTAAAATGCAACAGTGGCCACAGGATTGGAAAAGGTCAGTATACATTCCAATCCCAAAGAATGGCAATGCCAAGGAATGTTCAAACTATCACACAATTGCACTCATATCACACGCTAGCAAGGTCATGCTCAAGATCCTACAAGCTAGGCTTCAACAGTACGTGGATAGAGAACTGCCAGAAGCTCAACATCAAAAAAACTAAGATCATGGCATCCGGCCCTATCACTCCTTGGCAAATAGAAGGGGAAGTCATGAAAATAGTGACAGACTTCACGTTCCTGGGATCCCAGATCACCGCAGACTGTGACAGCAGCCATGAAATTAAAAGACGCCTGCTCCTTGGGAGGAAAGCGATGGCGAACCTAAACAGCATGATAAAAAGTAGAGACATCACCCTGCCAACAAAAGTCCGCATGGTCAAAGCAATGGTATTCCCAGTAGTCATGTATGGCTGCGAGAGTTGGACTATAAGGAAGGCCGAGCGCTGAAGAATTGATTCTTTTGAACTATGGTGCTGGAGAAGACTCTTGAGAGTCCCTTGGACTGCAAGAAGAACAAATCAGTCAATCCTCAAAGAAATCAACCCTGACTGTTCCCTGGAAGGCCAGATAATGAAAATGAAGCTCAAATACTTTGGCCACCAAATGAGAAGGGAGCACTCACTGGAGAAGAAGACCCTGATGCTGGGAAAGACTGAAGGTCAAAGAAGACAGGACGGCAAAGGATGAGATGGTTAGACAGTGTCATCGATGCAACGAACATGAAGTTGAGCAAACTTCAGAGGATGGCGGAAGGCCTGGAGGGAGCTGGTTCATGGGGTCGCAAAGAGTCGGACTCGACTGTGCGACTGAACAAATGAGATGGTTAGACAGTGTCATAGATGCAACGAACATGAAGTTGAGCAAACTTCAGAGGATGGCGGAAGACCGGAAGGCCTGGCGGGATCTAGTCCATGGGGTCGCGAAGAGTCGGACTCGACTGTGCAACTGAACAACAACAACATACTTTGCTTGAGAGAGAAGGAGACAAGAAATAGCCTGATATCATCAGCTCTCAGAAGCTAAGCAGTTTCAGTACCTGCAGAGGAAGGCAATGACAAACCACTTCTCCTTCTTACTTGCCTTGAGAGCCCCTTGCTTGCATTGCTTGATAAGTCACGACTTAATGGCACATATGTACATACTTTGCTCTTTCAGTACTATAGTGGGATTAACAGAATAGAAAAAGTGCATGCTGCTGTTGATATAGTTGCCCCTACATGGTTGTATGAGGGCAACTGATATTTTTTATGGCAGGGTCACCTTTTCTTTCTAGAATTTGGTCACGCAAAGTGTTGTACATGAGTGGCATGTCCATACCTGCTAAATATGTCTACAGTGGTTTAGGTGGTGGTGAGATGAACTACAGCCTGTGGTCAAGAAGAAGAAGAAGAGGAGGAGATTGGATTTATACCCCATCCTTCACTAAGTACTGATACAATTGCTTTGCCACAAGAACACTTGAATCCAGTCAATGTGGCACAATGGTTAGAATGTTCAGTTCAAATCCCTGAGGTTCACGAAGTGCCCTTGGGCAGGTCACTTTCCTTCAGTTTAGCTCATGTTGCAAGTCATTGTGTGGCTAAAGCTAGTGTTCATTGGTAAAAAGATGGGGTATGCATGTAATAAACAGAATAAATTGTTAATCTTTATGAGGACTTCCAAATGCTCATAGGATATGTCATGAACTTCAACCTTAAGTGCAGGAAAAAGAAGGAATATTATAGCATATGGCTGGGAGTGGTGGAACTACCCCATGATGCAATGCTCTGCACCCCTCATTATGTCTGAATGGATCCTTCCGATCCAAAGCAGAGTTTTCAAGTCAAAGAAGTCTGTTCTATAGTGATTTCCATTTGGATCGCTATGGAACAGACTTCTTGTAGTGCTGATGCTCTATTGATAAGAATTTGGACAAGGAATGTTTATAGTTCCATACTTTCCACCCATTTTGATCAAGTTCCACGTGTGGAGCTTTTCCTCCATTCTCCCTAGGGAAAACACCATAATTATTTAACATCAAGCAAGTGGAAGATAAAATGGAGCAAGTTTGTGATGTAGTTTTGGTTGTTTGAGAAAGCTGCAGGCATGAGCAGGTACCAATCCCCGGGGCCAAAAACAATGACTTCGATTTAAAAGTGTTTGCTTTTCTGATTAAATGGCTGTTCTTGAGATAAAATGTAAGCTGATATGGTTTTGAACCTTGGGTGGAGAAAACAGCATCCTCCAAGGTATATAAGAAGCATTTCTGGCCTTCCATTCCTCACCTAGTGTCTAAGACCAATCTGCAGTAACTAACCATTCACCTTAGAAACTGCACAGAGGCAAAGAGCATGATGAAGTGGCTGGTCCTTGCCCTGGTGTGTCTTCACCTCTGTGAAGGCATTGTCAAGTAAGTATGGAAGAGTGCCCTTTCTTCTTCTCTGCTGCAACAGAAAAAAAGGACAAAGGGTAACAGTTAAGAATATTCTTGACTGTTCAGCATGTATATCACTTGGTGTGTTCAGTACTATCCAGCTTTAATTTCAGCCACTGGATAATTGCTAATTTGACTAGAATTAAGTAAATAGGGCAACATGCAAATGTGCAAGATTTAAATTTTTCTGGGAGAGTGGAAATACATTGCCCTTTGGCTAGATCTCATATGCATTTTTAAAATAAAGAAATCAGTTCTATTATTTTATATTCTAGGATCCCAATCCAGTTGCAGTTAGTAATTATGTGTGCAGTCTAATACTATTCATTTTTGACTTAGAAGTAAGATACAGTGTGTTCAGTGGGGTTTACTCCCAGGGAAGTGTGCCAAGTACTGAAGCCCTGTGCCTTAATATGGATGGAAACATATAGATGCATCAGTCCCATTGTTTTCAGCAAGACTTCCAATGCAACTCTGTGCTGAATTCAATGGGATTTACTTCTGAGTAAACATGTGTAGGAGTAAGATGAGAGTCATGACTAAATTTTAGCTAGCTTGCAGACTTTGACTACAAAATATAGGTAACAGCGCTGGCCTTTCTTTTTAAACGTAAATTGAACTGGCAAGTAGAAATATAAAATGAATATAAAAATGCTCATCAAATCCCATTTTTAAAGCTGATAAAAATTGAATTCTGAACTCAGCATACATAAACAATATATATGAAATTTACAGCAAAAATACACAACATTTTATATTTGCTGCTGCTTCCAATTGTACACAAATGTTCTTTCTTTTATCTGTGTTTTCAGTGACTTACAAGATCTAGACTTGTGGTTAATTATAGGAGTATTATAAGTAGACATGAGACGATTTTTTTCCAGTGTCCCATAATTAAGAACTTGTTTTCTTGTTCTCAGTAAAGCACCATGTAGATTAATGGCCTATATATAGACCACTGCTTCATCTAATTTAACATTCTTTCTCAAAAGTTGCCAGCCAGAAGTCTTGGGAAGCTCCCTAGGAAGGCAAGATAAACACAGCCATCTCTTGTTCTTGCCAGCATGGCAGAGTTATGCTGTGAATATGGCGATTCCATTCTCAGATCCCTTACTAACAGTCAGTCATCTGTCTTCCTTCCATGCACTCTGGGAGCCCTTTCTTTCCCTTAGAGATCACAATCTAAATATTTAAATATACAAAGGAACTTGAGGACCCAAAGTCTGGATTACACATTATATTGGATCAAAAAGCTTTATAGATGCATAGAAAAAAGGTAGATTTTTAAGATCTGTAAAAGATGGCTGAGGATGGAGGAACTCTTGTTTCTGTCTGTCCTGCCCTTCCTCCAAGGAGCTCAGCGGCATACATGTTTATACCGTCCTCCATTTATGCTCACAGAAACACAGGGCAATGTTTAGGTTGACAGACTGATTAGTCCAAAGTAATTCCAATGGGTTTTGTAGCAGAGCAGGGATTTAAAACAAGATTCCCCAGTCCTAGTCCAACATTCCGAGCGGTATACTACACTGGCTCCATAAGTGCTATCCTCCGCTTTTCAATGCAGGACACCATCTGACAGTATGAAAATGACATCATACATGCTTAGAAAAGCATCAGGTTAGATGGTGCCTTGGTGGAATCAGATGTAAGTCACTATAATAGACTCACTGAAGATGATTCTTAAGAAGATGTTTCACTAAAAACTCAGCGTAGGAAGAGTTTTTGGCTTCTTACACCTAATTGTCCATCCCATACAGAGTTCCACTGAAAAGATTCAAGTCCATGCGGGAGGTCATGAAGGAGAAAGGTGTTCTTCAGGATTTCCTTGAAAAATATCACTTTGACCCAGCCAGCAAGTACTTGAACAACTTTGCCACTGGCTATGAGCCTCTTGCTAACTACATGGATGTGAGTAACAGGCTGGTGGAAGGAAACTATCCAAAACCATGAGAGGATGGGAAGAAGGGCTGTGGCTTAGTGGTAGACCCATCTGCTTTTTATGTAGAAGGTCCCAGGTTCAACACCCAGCACCTCCAGTTAAAGGGATCAGGTAGCAGGTGATGTGAAAGATCTCTACCTAAGACCCTAGAGAGCTGCTGCCGGTCTGAGTAGACAATACTGATCCTGATGGGCCAAAAGGACCGATTCGGTATAAGCTAGTTTAATGTTTTCAGATGTCTGGGATTTCAGCAACTGCTTTCAGGAATCCAAAATCAGGTCCTAAATGAAATTCAGATCTTGTCTTTATTTAGAATTATTACAAATTGGGAAATTTAAAATATAATGAGTGTAGAACTGTAGAAGAGTGTTGAAGAGATGTAAACTCATGGCAGGGGAGAGTAGTATATAACATGGAAATTTTGCAGGCACAATGGATTTAGTTACTAATACTGAGCACATATACACTTTATATTGTATATGTCAGTATAACTCAAACTCCCAAATACAGTTGCAGTATTTTCTAACTCTCCTGGCTCTTAACTATTTATTTATTTAAAATGTTTGTTATATATGGCTGTTATCTATGGTCACTGATACATTTTTGCCAAATGATGGTGGAGAGCTTTTGATTTGTTTGTGCTGAAAAATACTGAGTTGAATGGGCTTGAATATTATGGGGATGACAACATGAGGAGGCCACTGCTGACAAGAGTCCTTCTTTCTCTAGATGTCCTATTATGGCCAGATCAGCATCGGAACTCCACCCCAGAGCTTCTTGGTACTCTTTGACACTGGGTCATCCAACCTCTGGGTACCATCCACCTATTGCCAGAGTCAAGCTTGCAGTGAGTATCCTCAGCCCATGACTCCATAAGAGACCGAATACTTCATGAATGAAGATGAACTTTTCTTTGGCTTACCTTTTGCCACTGAAAAATGTATACACATGTTCAGATTTGGTGGGGGGGATATGCATACTTCATGAAAGTATTGTTATGGTTCATGAGCTCAAAAGTAACACCTTTCTTTTCCTCACTACTAGCAAATCATCCACTATTTAACCCCAGCCAGTCTTCCACTTATTCCACCAATGACCAAACCTTCTCTCTGCAATATGGAACTGGTAGTCTCACTGGGATCTTTGGCTATGACACAGTAACAGTAAGTAGTATTCTAAAAGAAGAAGACATTGTGGGTAAAGGGTTGGTTTTAGCAGAAACTGTTGCTTTCTGAACAACTAATAGTGGTTAGGAAGAAGTTCACTGTTAACCTGATGCAATGTGTTGCAATCACATAGGTAACCATGAACTAAAATTATCTTGGCTATATACAAAGCTGCAGAAGTAGAAAGCTGTGAGTTGTATAAAAGGACTATGAGATTTATTACAGACAATGTGAATCATGTTTTTAAAAATATTTATTTTAAAATCTTTCCCAGTAAAATGTTCAGTTGGCTTCCATGGACAGCTTTCTATGGATGTTACTAAAGAACAGTAGCACCACCAAGAAAATTTCCTCAGTTTTACTAAAGTCATCTGTAGGGATGGGCACAAACTGGGAAAATGTGGTTCGTGACAGTTTGTGGTTCGTGGCATGCCCAGTTTGTGAGCCACAAACTGTCATGAACCTTTCGGGGCTAAACAAACTGGTTCAGTTTGTGGCATGGTAGAACTGCCCCACAGCATGCTAGAGACACCACACTTTCAGGGAATCTCCAGCTGACGCTCCTCTACCTGACCTCCAAGTTTGGTTAGGATTGGATTTACAGGGTCAGAGTTACAGTCCCACAAAGAAGGTGCCATCATCCTCCATAGTTTTCAATGGAGGAAAAAACCCAGCAAAAAAGCAAGGGCAATAAAAGCCCAGCAGAAGAGAATCAAAGTCCCTGAGAATCTCTGCAGAAGACACTGAAGGCGGCGGCGGGGGGGGGCATTTTTGGAAACCCAGCAGAACCAGTGCTACTGTGACAGTGCAATTCCAATAGGACTAAGGTCAAGCCAGAGAATCTCTGCAGTAGTGGCTGAATGCTCAGCGGAACCCAGTGCCACTGACATTGCAAACTTAAAAGGACTGATCTCAAAGCACAGAGTTGCAGCAAATCCAATCAAGGGTGCAAACTCTATGCAAGAAAATGGGAAGGGAACACAAAGGAATACCAGCAAAGGTGGGGGGGGGATCCTCTTGAAACTGACAAGACTGGTTTGAAACTGACAAGAGTGTTTCCAAGACTGGAGAATTCCAGCCCCTCTGTTGCTTTGAAGTTTGGTAAACATTTTTTTGAGCCCAGACAGTCTGTCTGGAAATGTATTCCATTCACCAATGGGCAGGAACCTCCACACACTTGAAAGTTCATAGAAAGCTCGTGCCAGTTGACCTGCCATGAACTTCAGTTCACAAACCATGAACTACCCAATATTTGTCACAAAGTTTAGTTCATGAGCTGATTTGTGCCCATCCTTAGTCATTTGAGAACTCTCAGCTAAAGCGCTGTATCTCTGAAAATCAAATTGCTTTTGTAAAGAAAATGGATTTGGGGAATACTGAGTGACATAATGACTAAAGGCCAAATATGTCCACTGGACAATGAGATTCATGTGTGCTGATCCTCAACATTTGCATAGCCATGTTAGCACTCAGATTGACAGGGAAGTAGTCAAAGCAGTGTTTTCTGCCAGATAGGTCTGTTTTGGAATGTTGTACATTGGGTTAACCTAGATGAATCATCCTGAGACTTGACAACCATTTTATCCTCACCACTCCCCTCTGCTTACCAGTTCCACGACACATAATTTGCACAATGTCATTATACTGCATCTATTATCTCTTTCATAGTGCTCCATATTCTCAGTTGTACCAAAAGTTGATTGATTGTGAATGCTGGAAAACAGAGCTGGAAATCATGGTGTTCCAGTGCAGTGATCATTATGCACCATTCAAAATATTAATTAACTGATCAGAAGATTATTTTTTTAACATGATAACACAACACAGCTAATTGCTGCCTGTATTTCTGAAATTTGGTTAGGCTGTCAATATGATCCACTGATACCCTGCTCCACTCTCCTGGCAAATTGTGCTTTTAGTCACGTGCTTTTCTTACTTACTTGAGATTATTCTTTCTGTCCTCTTCTAGATCCAGGGCATTTCCATCACCAACCAGCAATTTGGCCTGAGTGAGACTGAGCCTGGCACTAATTTTGTTTATGCCCAGTTTGATGGCATCCTGGGTCTTGCTTACCCCGCCATTTCTGCTGGTGGTGCTACCACTGTAGTTCAGGGGCTGCTGCAGGAGAACCTTCTGAATTCCCCAGTTTTCAGCTTCTATCTGAGTGGGTAAGGATGGAGACTTTTTTTTTCAATTTTGGCATTTGCTTAGCTTCAATCTGTCCTTATATATCATATTATAGATTTCTCAGGTCTCTTTTTACCCATATAAAGTTGAATAACACAAGAAGTCAAAATAAACAGCACGTTCGGAGGCACTTAAAAGATTATCTGATTTTTAAAAATTCAGCATAGACCCTACTTCATCATACATATGTAGCAAGAGGCCAGTCTCTTATTTTATTGCTATTGTTTGAACATTGAGATTTACTTCATTTACATTTCACTGAAGATAAAGTTACAAGGAGTTATTAACTCTGATCTTTGACATAATCTCATTCTTTTCCGTATGACAGTGGCCAATCAGCTTCTTTCTAAAATGGTAGAGGAGGGTTCTTTCTATGCTAGAATTCCCAAGTTCAACAAAAATTCTCAGGACAAGAAAAAATGATACCCCCCCCAAATATGGTGTGAGACATCTGAAATTGTACTATTGAGAATAGGAGATGGTTAATATACTTTGGTGCCCCTTTATGTAAAAAACACCTTGCATGTGAAAAGCTAGCATGCTAGGGAGATGGCTGGACTACCACTCTTCGCCCTGACCTTCTATGTCTTGCATGTGTAGGGAGATTTTTTTGCATGGAGGCACAAGGAAAAAGAAAATCACTGAAGGTTTATGTCTTTGTTTCTTTCTTTTCTGAGAAAACTTGAGTTCATAAAAATCATAAACACAAGCCATTGATCAGCAAAAATCTGACACTCAGCTTGTCAGAACTAAGAGGGCGAAGAACGTTGCAGATATGTGAATTTTATTCTCAGTTCAGGGCTCCTTATCTGTTATTTTTACCTGTTGATTTTCACAGTCCATATACTTGCATTGTTATAGATGTTTGGCTTCGGAACATCAGTACATCTACTGATAGAGCTGAGCCCACCACCTGCTTAAGAATCTTTGTCACTGTCTTGATTTTGTGTTGTCCTGAGACTTCCATGTGAACTATAATGTGAACTGCCTTTTCTGTTATGTATTTGTGATGCTAGGCAAGAGAGCACCCAGAATGGTGGTGAACTTGTTTTGGGAGGAGTTGACTCCAACCTCTACTCTGGTGAAATTGTCTGGACTCCAGTCACCCAAGAAGCTTACTGGCAAATTGGAATTCAAAGGTAAAAGTATTCTAATTGTGTACAAGGACAGAGGAACATTTACATTTTAGGAAAGTAGGGAGGCTGTACCAGCCAATTTCCCACTTCCAGTTCATACCCCCTCTAGCCAGTTTGGTATAGTGGTTAAGTGCGCAGACCAGAGGTCATTTCGGGGGGAATCGCGGGGATCGCAGTTCCCTCAGGTGAGGTACGGGGGGCGGGGCACATGACGAAGCCCCGCTCCCTGCTTCTGGCCACCCCGCTTCCGGCCCTCATTCAGCCAGGAGGAGGCAGGAGAAGAGGGAGGGTAAGTTGCTTCCTCCCTGCCTCTCCCCACCTCTGCCTGCCTGGGGCCAGGGAGGGCCTTTGCGGGGCTTCCTTGCACTCCCGCTGGTCTTGCAGGTCCACCGCCGGGCCCCTCATGGGGCTCGGCAGTGGAGCTGCAAGGCCAGCAGCGCCCGGGACCGTTGGGGGCGGGGTGTGTGGCCTTATGACACACTTCCGGTGATGTCAGGGGGTGTGGCCTCATGACACACTTCCGGTGATTTTAGGGGTGTGGCATATGCTAATGAGTTATGCTAATGAGTTCCCCTAGCTCTTTTTCTAGGAAACTACCCCTGGCACAGACTCTAATCTGGGAGAACCGAGTTTGATTCCCCACTCCTCCACTTGCACCTGCTGGATGTCCTTGGGCAAGCCGTAGTTCTGATAAGAGCTGTTCTTGAAAAAGAGCAGTTTTTGTCAGAGCTCCTTCAGCCCCACCTACCTCACAGGGTGTCTGTTGTCGGGAGGGGAAGGGAAAGGAGTTTGTAAGCCACTCAGACTCCTTTGGGTAGTGAAGGGCGGGGTGTAAATCCAATCTCTTCTTCTCTTCTTCTACTTTGCCCCTAGTGCTGTTCCTGAGGGTCCATCCCCCCCCCAAAAAAAAACTGTTGAGGAAGTTCAGTGGACTGTAGAAGGATGGAGGAATTGGCAGATATTGCTGGTCCCTCTTCCAAAACATAAATGCCTTTAAGTTTTCAGAACTGTTTGTTTAGATACAGGCTAGTATCTACTAGGAGCTAACAGCCTGTTCAGAACTCAGTGCAAGTTTAGTGGCTGAGCATTATGGATGTTAGATTCTTTGGATCTATTTCTCCTGGATCAGTTCCAGCCCCACATAGCAGCTCAGTTTGGATACTGTGGAAGAAGATCCAAAGAACATGCTCTTTGCTTACACAGCTCCTCTAAGAATAATATTTAAATTACATATAAACAAGTGTAATTTAATTTATTTTTGGCTTTGGGAAAGCAATGTGACTCGTATAGCCCAAGTACAAAAACGTATGAGAATAATCCTGCTTTCTTTTGGAAGTAATCATTTTAAATTAAGGAGAAAACTTGACTATTCTGGTGATCCCATGAAAACCTCAAATTCAAGCAAGCATGTCATCTTGGGTGACCCACCCTCATCTTATCCTCTAACAAGAATGTTTATGTGGGTTGCTAACCCTTCTTAATATTTTTCCCCCTATAGCTTCTATATTGGTAATCAGATCTCTGACTGGTGCAGCCAGGGATGCCAGGCAATTGTAGACACCGGAACATCCCTCCTCACTGCTCCACAACAGGTCTTTGGAGAACTGATGCAGTACATTGGAGCTCAGCAAGATAGCAATGGACAGGTAGGGGAAAAGCAGCTGTGCTTAGGGAAGGTGGGAACTCTACATCTGTAAGATGAGAGCACTAAATATCAATGTCCACGAAACTTAGCATATTTGTATAATTTGAGTCCCCATTTGGTTGTATATTCTAGTGCACAAAGGCTCCTGGCAATTCATTTCTCTTATGGGGAGGTGGACTATTATCCAGTGGGCAGAGAACCTTCCTGCCCCTAGCTCGCACCTTGGCTTTGCATAAGTCACAGAACATCGCCACTCCAACTTCTGTTGTTAGGAAAAGGTGCACTTAAACTCAGAAAGATTATAAAGCCTTTTTCCGATGTTGCATTTGCAGATATACAGCGATGCTTACCAAGAGCATATGGTATCTGTAATCCTTCTGATATGGGAGGTCGCCATTCTGTCTGAACAGAGCACTGTACATATGTTCAGATTCAGTACATGCTACACGAAACCTATTTTTTAAAGGGTTTTGTGTAGTGTGTACCGAACCTGAAAATATATATGGTGCCCTATTCAGATAAAATGGCAAGTGAATGTATTGGGAGCATTATGAGTACTGCATGCTCCTGTTGTTGGGATTCTTAGTGTGTGTGGTTATAACAGCTGGTAAAAAGCGTAAAGATGTATGGAGTTCAACAGTGGTTGAAATAAACTGTATCTTTTTTTCTTGTCTTACTACTTCTCCCACAGTACGTGGTCAGCTGCAGCAACATTCAGAGCATGCCCACCATCACTTTTGTCATCAGTGGGAATAGTTTCCCTCTGAGTCCTTCTGCCTACATCCTTGAGGTATGTGATTCCATAAAACAACTCTGACCCAGCTAATCCCAGGTCACATACAGCTTGGCTTGGTGGAACCTTTGTTTATTGTTTTATTGCTCTGCCTTAAGGGCTAATTGCCCAATCCATGATCTTTTTATTTATTATATTTAATTGGATTACTAGCCTGCCCTCCCCTGTGCAGCAAGGCTCAGGGTGGGTTACAACAACAAATATATACAACTAATTTAAAACAATTAAAACATAATTACACATATTAAAACCTATACAAAACATCAGATAATACAACTCCAGATGACGGTCAGGTATAGATTAGTAAGTACTCCAAAAAAACTATCTGTATGTGTGCCCAAAGATTAAACCAAATACTGGGCAGGAGGGCAAAAAGCCACAAACAGTAACACAAAATAAATGGTGCAAAGCAGGGAAGGGGAGGCCAGTGTAGTTTGACGTCCACCACCTCAACCATAAACCTGTCTGAACATCTCCATTTTACAGGCCCTGTAGAATTGCAACAGATCCTTTGGGCTGGGGACCACCAGCAGATGCTGACCTATAGAGCGTAAATCTCTTTGAGGGACATACAGGGAGAGACGTATAGCATAAATGTTCATGCTATACTTTATAGATAATGGAATACATGGTTTTTCCTATATGACATGCAAGGCAAAAATGTGATGCAGCAAGCAGTCCTTACTCTTTTTTTTTGGGGGGGGGGGAATAGCAATTCTTATGCATTCCTCCGGAAGGCAGCAAGGGGAATACTTCTAGAGAGGTGGAATAGACACAGTGTCAACAGTGGACATCATGAATGCGCCATTGATGTTGATCAGTTGTTTGGAGGCTCCATCTCATAACCACAAATCGAAGTGTTTGTACAGGGCATGTAGAACTGTACCATGCAAAATCTGCTGGTACAGATGCATTATAAGGTACACCATGGTTGTTTTTTTTTAACCCAAAATGCTGACATTTAAAAACAGTATTAAGATACCGTTATCTCATAAAGTTTAAATATTAAAATCTATTGTTCCAAGTTCGTTCATGACTCTGGAGTGCCATATTCATTCCATGGAGATATTTTCAGAGGGCAGCCATGTTGGTCTGCAGTAGAACAGCTAGATTTGATTCCAGTAGCGTCTTCGAGACCAACAAGATTTGGGGGGTATAAGATTTTGAGAGTCAAACCATATCTACCAAAGGGTGCTACTGGACTCGAATCTGGATATGCATCCCACTGCTTTGATGAGGACTTCCAAGCCAAACTCTGTGTTTTTTTCCTTTTCAGAACAATGGTGGTTATTGCAGTGTTGGCATCATGCCCACTTACCTGCCATCCCAGAATGGGCAACCTTTGTGGATCCTTGGTGATGTCTTCCTCAGGTCCTACTACTCCGTTTATGATGTGGGCAACAACCAGGTTGGCTTCGCAGCAGCAGCATAAGCACATCCAACCATCCTCTTCATTCCAGGCTGCTTCTGGTTTCTTCCACAATTATTCTTCATGCCACTACACACAAAGTACACTGGCCTCCCTTTTTAAGGACCTGACTGCTTTTTTCCTGCAATGCCTGAAACCTTTCCTGTTAAAAATCACTGACTGGTTCTCTTCTAAAGTAACTGCAAGCAAATAAAGTTATTACACTAACAGCAATTACTCATTTTATTTATGTTATTTATAGTTCACCTTTCTCACAGGGACCCAAAGTGGATTACACATAGTGAGTCAGTACAATTTACAAAATGGGACATTCAATAACCACTACATTAGGAATTTAGAAGTCTGGAACCACCAGAAAGAACTGAAACACAGCCTATGAATTAACCTGACACATGAAGTGGTACAGAGATGACATAATAGGATCCTATTTACATTAAGTGATACACAGCAGTATAGACCACAGTCCCAATAATTTATTCAGGTAAGAACGTGAACCATTTTGTACACTGCAACCTATTACCTGTGCAAAAAAGCCATTTTGAATAGTTCAGTTTTATGTAGTTTGAGGAAAGCCTGGAGGGTTGGAGCCTTTCCTGACTTCCTCAGGCAGGAACCACAATGAAAAAAGCACACACATACAAGCCGTTCTCGATTTTTAATTAGAATTATGTTGAATCAGGGCTACATGGACTTTTTTGCCTTGGGAGAAAATTGCTTAAGACTGTTTAGAAGAGAAATGCGAAATTGCAAGTTTTTCCTTAAAGGGCAAAAATTCATTATATTTAATGTTTTAGATCCCCAACCATTCCTAGGGTTCAGGAAGGGGTACAACATCTCCTTTATATGATTAATCCTCAAAATTGCCGGTGAACTATGTTCTTCTGAGAGACTAGCCTAAGACCACACAGTGAATTTCACAATAGAATGGATATTTCAATCTGGATTGTCTTTGAAGATTCCAGGATGGAGGGATTAATATGACCATGGTATAACTACTGAGATATACATTTTTGTATGTTATTGAAGTCCAACACAGATCTTAGACATTTCCTTTAAAACCAAGGGAACAAACGTTTACCAGTGTAAAAGGTAAAGGTAAAGGTTCCCCTTGCTCGAAAGCCAGTCGAATCCGACTCTAGGGTTGCGGTGCTCATCTTCGTTTCAAAGCCGAAGAGCCAGTGCTGTCCGAAGATGTTTCCGTGGTCATGTGGCCAGCATGACTAAACACCAAGGCGCACGGAATGCTGTTACCTTCCCACCGAAGTGGTACCTGTTTATCTACTTGCAATTTCTTGCTTTCGAACTGCTAGGTTGGCAGGAGCTGGAACTAGAGATGGGAGCTCACTCCATCATGCGGCACCCGGGTCTCGAACTGCTGAACTACTGACCTTCCACAGCCTGCAGTTCAGCGTCTTAACCACTTGAGCCACCGCAGCTCCTTCTTAATAAAATGCATTTGTTCAATGCATCTTATGCCTGCAGGCTAAGCGGACTAGAAACAGGCCACAGGGAGGCATGATGGGTTGTGCAGGCATCTTTATATTATACCTCAGATAAATCTCCAAGGTATCCAGTTTGGGGGTTGGGTACAGCAGAAACCTTCCACTAGTGGAAGGGGGAGAGTTTCACCAACTACCCTGCCTACAGCAGACCTCTGACTTCTCCTTTATGGTGCTGGTGGAGTCCCTTGTCCCCTAAGACATTCACAGGGCATTTTGGGCTGCAGGAGGAGAGGGAAGGTGATAAAGTCATGCTCCACTAATAGAATTCTCCTCCATCAGTGGAGATTTTCCTTGGGTTCCAAGCCTTGGTTTGGAATTGTCACAAAATCATGGTGCTATTTCATATATTACTTTAGGTTTAAGAGTACCTCACAACCCTCTGGAAAGTAGAGGCAGGGCTCCTATATCATTTGTGCGGAAGGAGCTGAGGTACAGGTGGATTAACAGGAGTTCTGCACATTATCATGAAGATGCCACTTGAATTGCCCTTCACATGATGACTTCTTCATTGCCACGCATGTACTGTACAGCACATATTTTTTTCCCCACATTGTCACATTAGCACCAGCTGTGATAAAATGTATAACTCCAGGCTGCTTCTGTAACCCTTAGCTAGTAATGGAATGAGCCAGGAGGGGGTGGAGCCTCTAGATGCAAAAGGGTGCAGCATGTGTGGAAAGCAGAGGAGGGAAGCAAGAGTGCCCTCTGGGGAGCTTAAACCTGGATCATAAGCTCTTAACACCGAGAAGAATTTCACCATTATTGTACCATCATGGAATAAAGCAGTACAGGGACGGCTGTTCCAGATAGCCTTTCCCTTCCGGTAAGGAGCTGTCTCTGAAGCGGTGTGTCATTTCAAACTGCACCCCTTTTTTTTCCCCCCCCCCCCCCCCCCGCACCTGACAGGGTTTTTAAAAAAAAAACATTCTATTGGGAGAGCTATGGCGCTGAAGCAGGACTACAGACCAGTGCCATAGCAACCCCACTGCGACGCCTTAGCAACCCCATTGAGATGCCTGGACTTCATTTAGATACATTGACATTCACTACTGCTGGCACCTGGAAACAAGGAGCTCACTGGATACAGAGTTCAAGCACGGGGCGGAGGGGGGGGGATCAGACAGTTTTGAAACACAGGAAGTTTTCCTTAACTCCGACAAACCATGGAGTGTGTGTGCTTGTGTGTGTATGCCTGAGTCTACACTTCCTCTCGAGCAAACTTTTAAAAAATCAACCTAACATCTGTCTCACCATTCACTTAAGCCCCTGATCTCCCGCTTAAACAAGCTGTACAATCAGGTACTTGTTTCCAGGGGACAGCAGTAGTGAATGTCAGTGTATTTAAATGGAGTCCAGGCATTTCAATGGGGTCGCTATGGTGCTGATTTGTAGTCCTGCTGCAGCGCCATAGCATTCCCAATAGAACATTTAAAAAAAGGACGATCGCGTGCGGGGAGAAAAAGGGCGTGAAAAGAACTGCCATTGCAGGAAGCACTACATCGGGCATTACACAGCACCCCATAGCGCTTCAGAAGTGGTAGAAAGGATTGAAGACTGGAGGAAAGCAGTTTGAGTCAAAAAGACTTCAGGCACGCTTCCCGAATGGGACAGAAGAGTGTTTGTCTGAACAGGTAAATATATTTCGCCAGGGACCAGTTACTAAAACAGGTCTGTCTAAAATGACAGAAAAAACCCATTAGTGTCCAGTTCCTGAAACGGTATACTTAGGCTGTCTGAAATTGGTCCTTGTTTAAGGGTTGAGTTCATTTGGGACCCTCATCTTAGAACCTGGTGTACAGAAGGTTCAGCTGGAGACTTCTTGGGCCACCAACAAGAGGAAAGAGATGGACTTTGGGGGTGGCAAGCTGTGAAGGAGGAAAAAGTTAACTGTTTGGACTTTAAAAGATCACTGTTCTGTTGTGTTATTAAGATCTGTGTTTTTGTTACGCGATATAATGCTCAGTGAAAAGTAAAATTATTTAATTCTCCTTGAATTATTAAAAGATTCTTTACAAGTTCTGCCCCACAGAATCCACAGAGGTTACACTTCCAGATGGTGATTTTTCCTCAGGTGGAACGCAGCATGCTGCCACTTTTCTGGGAGGGGGATTACACTTGATATCATGTTCTTTCTGAGCACAATACATGGGACTTCTAGGGCTTTCCCCTTTAAGGTATCTCAGAAGTGAAGTAGTGGTGGTGGTGGTGGTGGTGGTGCTACCAGGCTTCAGGGAGGCAACAAAATTCTCCTGTTCAGCACTCCTGTGCCAACCCTAATGAAGGGGTGGGGGGAGGGGGAGCAGGGCAGCAGCCAGCAGCATAGGGACAGGGTGTATGGGTGCCATCCCTGCTCATCTCCACCCTGCTTGCTGCTCCTTCCAGAGCAATGGGGGCTTTCCCCGTCCCCTTGTTGAAACAGTTCTGGTGTGGAAACATTCCACTTTACAATCTCTGCTGTCTGTTAGGGCCTTGTTGGCAGATGAAATGATTTCAAGTTTTCGTCATTATTTCTTAACTATACATTAATTGTATTTTAAAATGTTTTATGAGGTTGTAAATCGCCCAGAGCCTGCTTGCAGGGTGGGCGATTCATAAGTCCAATGAAATAAATAAAATAAGTGGCATCCAAATGACATTATCACTAAGAACAGAGGTATACCTTCATAGTGTATGTTGTCTCTCATGATTCTCAGTACATTTAAAACAGGATTCTTAAAATGCTGAAAACAGTTTGGGCTCTAGAATGGGGGGAAATGTCTGTGCATGCATATCCCAGCAGAATCCTGGCTAAGTAAATACCTTTCCTAAATTATATTTTTCCAATTAAAAAGTGTATGTATGTATGGGGGGGGGGTAGAGTTGCCAGCTCTGGGTTGGGAGATACCTGGAGATTTTGGGGGTGGAGCTTGAGGAGGGCAGGGTTTGGGGAGGGACTTCAATGGGGTATAATGCCATAGAGTCCACCTTCCAAAGCGGCCATTTTCTCCAGGTGAACTGATCTCTGTTGCCTGGAGATCAGGTGTAATAGTTGGATATTTCCAGCCACCACCTGGAGGCGCGCAATCCGAACTGAGGTTTCAGGTAAATAAATGGCAGCACCCTTGTGGCTTGGCAAGCAAATCTGAAATTGCTTCAGAAAGAAAATTTTCAAGGTGTTATAGTTTTCAAGGTAACAAATATTTATCATAAACCCCAAAACTTGTCAACTCGAGGTAAAACTGAATCATTTGCAGAGACAGGATCTTAAGTGCCCTTCAAAAAAGGTACTCTGAACAAAGGCAAGTCCTAACATACAATACCCAGTAACACACAGAAAACACCAAGACCAAAATGTTATCTTAAACAAGTGCAGGGATACTTCTGTCGGCTGTTCAACAATCCCTGTTGCTTCTCTTGATGCTTTGGTTCTGTGTCTTGGGCCTGCAAAAAAACTTAGCAGTTCCCTCAGTAGGGATGCCAGCTCCAGGTTGGGAAATACTTGGGAGATTTGGGGAATGGAGCCTGAGGAGGGTGGGGTTGGGGGGCGGGAGGGACTTCTATGGGGTATAGTGCCATAGGAATCCAGCTTCCAAAGCAGCCATTTTCTCCAGGTGAACTGATCTCTGTTGCCCAGAGATCAGTTGTAATAGTGGGAGATCTCCAGCCACCATCTGGACAGTGGCAATCCTATCTCTCAGTCAAGTTCTAGGCCTTCTTCCTCCTGCTGCAAGCTAGACTAAAACACAGAGGCTGATTTCGCACTAGAGCTGCCTCGATGTTGCACCGCCGTTTGCCCCGATACTATTGGTCAATTCCACACCCGAAGCCGTGGGGCTGCATTTGACCCATGGCTTCGCCCGATTTCCTCTGCAGTTTCATGATCCTCAAAAAACAGGATCACGAAACTGCGGGGGAAATCAGGCGAAGCTGCGAGTCAAAATGCAGTCCCACAGCTTCGGGTGTGAAATTAACCAATAGTATTGGGGCAAATGGCGGCACAACATCAAGGCAGCTCTAGTGCGAAATCAGCCAGAAAGTGTTTTAAACAATGTCTTTAACAAAAACTCAGCTTTATCAAAACAGCCTGCTTGAGGAAGGGGAAAGCAGGGAAAGATCTTGTCCACCAATAGCTTCCATGAATTCTTTGTCCTGAAATCCCTCTCTAAGCATTGGGTAAGCCTCACAAGCAAAATGGCCTCTTATTCCACTTGCATCTTGCATCTATGGAGAAAGGAAACAGAGGCAATTTAACCTTCCCCCTTGTTGCTGCACTGCCCTGACTAGTAGTATGTTTTGCTTGTAAAGCCCTCCTGATTCTCAGAGAGGAGTTTGGGAACAAATGGCAGTCTGTTTACGGAAGGGGAAGGCAAGGAATTTTCCAGCTTCTTCTGAGGACTCTTCTCTTGGATTCACTACACATGCTAAGTCACTTAGTTGTCACTTATACCCAGAATTACACTGCAGGTCTTAAAGGTCCCACTGGACTCAAACTCAGTTCTCACATGTGTTTGTTTTGTTTTATTATCTGTATGCTAGTTTGTTGCTATTCACAGATCTTACCAGCTGCTTTAATCCAATCTTAGCTATACTTATTGCCAATGTTCCCTCTAAGCTGTGGAGTCTTGTGAGCAAAAAATCTACTTTGTGAGCTGCTGGCATTCAAGTTGTGAGCCAGCAATTTGGCTACTGCATAAATTAGTTGGCTCTGGAGCCATCCTTCCTGAGCTCAGACAAAGATGTGTGAGCCGGAAGCTAAAAAAACCCTGTGAGCTAGCTCACATTAACTCAGCGTAGAGGGAACACTGCTTATTGCTCAGTTACTTATGCATCTTGACTCTAATTAGCCCTTCTTGGCAACTAACCCCCTCCCACCTTCTCTCTACCTATATGTAAGCATTGAGGAAGTCTGTTTCAATGTATCTGAAGAAGTGTACATGCGCATGAAAGCTTATACCCAGAATTAAACTTTGTTGGTCTTAAAGCTGCTACTGGACTCTGTAGTTTTTGGTAACAGCATGAACTGTTCCTTTTTATATGGGGCAATAATTCAGAAGACAGTGTTTTCAGTAATAACACACTCTCAAATGTTAGGTATTAAGATATTCCATTGAACTTGGAGAAAGGAAATCATGGACAAGCCCACGTCCCATTCATATATATCACATAAACATGGCCCAAAAATACTGTCACTGGGAAACTAACCTGTGCCTGCTGACAGAAAAGGAATTCAGAAGCCATACAGCATATCCCCAAACTGAAACTCAGTGTCTCCGGGGCATGTCTAGTGTTAATTATTTTGTTTATGTGGTTGGAGTCTGGGCCCACTCCTGGGTATACTGAATCCCAGAATGACTCAGTTTCCCCATATCTGGGATCTCCCAGTTTTCAGGAACACTCTTGTATAAGGCAAACGTACCATTAAAAAGCCTGCATTAGTGATATAAGGATGAAAAACATCATGGAAAAGACAGACATTACTGGCAAACTGTGTTTTCTGACTTACATATCAGCTAAAGAACTCTGAGAAAGTTGAATTTTAAAAAGGCAAAGTAAAGGATTCTGACATCTATGCATGATAAATGTTCAAGTGATGTTTTGAAATTCAAAATACAAAAAAATGTATGAGCACTGAATAAGAGTTTGCAATGTCAACCAAATTGGCTGTGGAAAGTGCCATCAAGTCACAGCTGACCTATGGTGACCCCACAGGGCTTTCAAAACAAAAAACATTTAGAGGTGGTTTGCCACTGCCTGCCTCCATGTCATGATCCCACTTAGCTTCCGAGATCTGAGGAGACTGGCCTAGCCTGAGCTATCCAGGTCATGGTCTTCAACCAAATTAGGTAAAGGTAAAGGTAAAGGTTCCGTTGCTCGAAAGCCAGTCGAGTCCGACTCTAGGGTTGCAGTGCTCATCTCCGTTTCAAAGCCGAAGACGTTTCCGTGGTCATGTGGCCAGCATGACTAAACACCAAGGCGCACGGAACGCTGTTACCTTCCTACTGAAGTGGTACCTATTTATCTACTTGCAATTTCTTGCTTTCGAACTGCTAGGTTGGCAGGAGCTGGAACTAGAGACAGGAGCTCACTCTGTCATGCGGCACACTCGGGTCTCGAACTGCTGAACTACCGACCTTCCACAGCCTGCAGTTCAGCGTCTTAACCACTTGAGCCACTGCAGCTCCTATCAACCAAATTAGCAATGTATTAACTTTATTGGCTGTTAATTAGATTTGATTTCTATGGTATTCTTTAAAAAGGAAACACAATGCTAGCCTATTTTTTTCTTTTGATTTTTCCATAGTGTTTGATCTGATGTGTTATATAAAATACTGACAAATGGTTAACTTTAATTAATTAATTGTTTAAAATATATATTTAGAATAAGAAGATGATTTGTACACAGTATTGCAAGCCGCGCAGCAGCCTGTAAAATGGAGCCTCGCCCGCAGAGCCTGGACCGCCCCCGGCAAGGAGGAGGGAGGGCAGCCCCCCACCGAGGAGGAGGAGCCCACCCACCCACCAGCCAGCGCCGAGAAGTGAGCCCAGGGCCGGGGGCGCCTCAGTTGGTCGGGGGGAGGGGGACCCGGACCGTCCCGGGCTGAGCGCGCTGGGGGGGCCTGCATGGGGAGGGGGGCAGCGAGGGGGCCACCGCCGGCTGGTAGTTCAAGCGAGGGCGGGAGAGGTGTTGCCCTGCTGCCTCAGCCCTGCCGCACGATTCCTGGCACCACCACGATCGCTCTGCCTCCCCCCCCGTGAGTATCGCGGGTCCACCTCTTGTTTTATTCTAATGAACAAGTGGGACAAGAAGCAGTTATACGCTTTGACACACACACCTCAGGCTGAAAGACTGGGGCATTCAAGCCAAATGGACCTTTTCAGTCCTAAAGGCCAGTTGCATTGACCACCACTGTGATTCAAACACTTCATGGCAGAGCATCTTTCCTAGGTCATGGTCCATCGTGCCCCAACATTCCACTAAAGAAAAAAACTCTGTTTTATGTTGGATTCAGTGCAGTCAAAACAGAATCTATACAGCTTGATGCAAGTACTCATAGCAGCAAGTATGATGACGAATTTACCCTTTATTGTATCTGAAAACAATAGGAGCAGTTGCAAACTGATTATTCTTTGACTTATTGACATCTTATCACTGATTTCTTTTCCTCTTAACAAAGCTTTATGCCTGTACCAATTTGTACTACTTCTTTTTAAACTCAAGGACACAAATTGCATTTCAACCCCTTCTAACAAAGGAAAATTATTTAACATTATCTGTCAGAAAACAAAAGGTGTAGATATTGAGTGTGCATAATGATATTGGAAACTAAGGGTAAATAGATATGGCATCAGAGGACAATTGTCCTGAGTATAAAAACAGCGAAACAGAGTCATAACTGTGGACTGGATTTCTGAAGTCTCTTGAAGATCACACTGGTGAAGACACTGAGCATTATGAAGTGGCTGATCTTAGTCCTGGTTTTTCTCCACCTGTCAGATGGGCTGGACAGGTGAGTATGCCAGCTATGGTCATGAATGAAATGGAAGCACCGCTGTGCATACATCAGGGAATAACTTGTGACCAACATTTCCAGCCTAAAACATATCCATATATTTCTATGACAAAGAAATTGTAGGTTTGCAAACTTCATAAATGTACTCCTGCTTTCTTGCCTTAAATAATATGATAGCTTATTAGGAGTTTCCAATACTACAAAAGAGGAAAGCTGGTAAACAAAGAGGGCACAGAAGAAATACTGATGGGACAATAGTAGTATTGCTGATCTCCTGAGCTCTTCTCATCTTTGTAGAATCATTCTGAAGAAAGGGAAATCCATTCGGGAGGAGATGAAAGAGAAAGGAGTATTAGAAGACTTTCTGAAGCACCACTATGTTGATCCTGCAATAAAATATCTTAATGAATACAATGTTGCTTATGAACCAATCACCAATTACTTAAATGTGAGTACTGGTTTAAAACACTACCTTTCTATCTGTTTCTTTCTCTTTTCAGCTCCCTTTCTTGTCTATATTGTCCATGCGGCATGTTCTTCCTTTCTCTTTCTATTGCATGCCATTAGCCAATTACAAGTGCTGTTTATTCAAAAGGATTGAATGCTTTCAGCACAGAAGTTACCATTGTCAAAGACACAAGTTGTTGTTCAGTATTAGAATTGGCTTATCTTGTAGGCAGTGGGAATTACTGTGGTGAAAAAAGCAAGCAAAGTTTCTGGATATGTTGGCATGTCCCTTCTTTGAACCCTAGCATGGGTTTTTGTAATTATAGAAGAGGTTCATGATCTGCTCATAGCTGTTTTACTGACCACTTGGAGTGTTGGTTAGCTTAGATGCTTCATGGGTTGAGGTGAGGCTTGATTTTTATGATCTAAACGTTTTTTTTGAGGTCTTAATAGGAAAATACCAGGGAAACAATAAAGTTACTGGCTTGGATCCACACTGGTGTTTCAGAATTACAAGCCCGTGTGCTGAGAACAAGATTTTCCTGCCTCCTCCCTTCCATGGCAGCCTGAAATACTCAAAAAATCCTGTTCCTAGTATGTCAAAGTGATTGAAATTAAAATTGTTGGAGAATCCTCTATCTTACCAAAGTTTTTCATCTGGCAGTCATTCTATTTTGGAGAGATCAGTATTGGGACTCCACCACAGAACTTCTTGGTTGTCATGGACACAGGTTCTTCCAATCTATGGGTACCATCTGTGTACTGTAATACTGAGGCTTGTGGTGAGTACTTCACCTTGCTATTTTGAGACTTTTTGAAATGGCTATATGAATAGATTTTGGTTAGAAAAAGCTGAACTTATCTGCAGAACAGTAACAATGGTAATTAACTAGTTAATATTGGCCCCGGTCACACGGGCCGGATATCGCGGGGGGGAGGCGTGGCTGTTTGCCCCGGAGCGAACTACCACGCGGCAGCTGGATCAAACGTCCCGCTGGACGTCCCACCGACGTCCCGTGGTTGGGGGGAGGTGCCGATCATACCTCACTCCTGCGGCGTGGCAAAGAAGCGCCGCCGCGGGGGTTGTGGTTTTTTTTAACCCAAGTGTTCGGATGCGCCGTTGGGTGCTTGTGCGCACCCGTGGAGACTTGACAAAAAAAAACTTTTCGTGACGGGACATGGGCGGGCGCTGGATGCCATGAGCTAACACCGGAAACGTGATCTGACGCCCACCCTTGCCCCGCGCTTTCTGGAAACTAGTACCTCGGAGGTACTAGTTTTCTTACAGCGCATCTTCGGAGTGAAATCTCGGGTGAGCCACGGGAGCTCTACGCTTCCCAGATGTGGCGGTGAGATCGTGCCCGGAAAATCCGCATATCTTCCGTCTCTCTAGCGTGCCTAATGCTCCGTGTGACCGGGGCCATTGTATGGTATTGTGTGTAGAATAGCCAGGAGATCCTAAGATTGTCTGGCAGCCACAAGTTCTAGCTCTTTTAGCATTATGCACCACTAGGTGGTGAGATAGTCTTGTTTTTTTAAGGCAAGAGACATTTCAGAGGTGGTTTTCCATTGCCTGCCTCTGTGTCAAAATGGTAATAATCCTATACTGTATGATATTCCTTGATTATTTTTTCTCATGCCTGGGCAAGGGGCTCTTCTTTCCATATGGGAAGACACTACAGGGCTTCATAGCTACCAATAAATAAAGGAATAAACAAAGATACCATGGCATAAAACACTAATGCCCATTTAAAGTATAGTTTGTTTTTCAAGAAAACAAATGCTGACATGTTAGTCAGATAAATAATGTCATAGTAATTAGAGTGAAACTGTATGTTATTCAAAAACATTTGTTCTGCTGATATGTCATAAAGGGTCAATCTGCACACAGAAAGAGTGGGAGCAAGTATGCTGGTCCTATCCCCACTCACAGCTGAACCCCATTCTTACCTGCATGTGCCCACTGCACATGGGCACAGCATCTACATGCATACAAGCTTTATACACAGAGGATCCACCCCTATGGTCAAGAAATGTTCATTCTCTATCATTCCTGATGATAGGGACAAAGCTTATGAGTGCATAAGTGCTGTGACCTCCCACAACAACTGTGTTCAGGAAGGAGTGGGGCCAGCACACATGCTCTCACTCCTCCTTTATGCATGTTGACCTTATATACTGATAATGGTGTATCGTATGCACAGGTCTGTTTCACCATAAATCAAATCTTGAGATGTGGGGGAAGGGCTTTACCAGGAAGAATGTTGGCAGGGTGTCGCTTTACCCTTCCTTGGTCTCTAATTCACTCTCCTGCAAATGTTATGGTTTGATGGTACATTGCATTTGCTGAAGCTAAGCTGGGTATGGAGATGAGCAGTGTCTGGATGGGGGAATTCCACGGAACACTAAGTATGCCACTTTGAGCTCCATGATAGCAGAAAGGCAGGATGCATATGTAATAATAAATAAATGCCCCCCCCACATCATGGCTATCTTAAATAATTTTTCTTCTAAATAAACTTTGAAACCTGAGGTAACTGGTGGGGCAGATGGAAATAGTCTCAAGAAACATCTGCAGGAGAGAATCAGCTGCACAAAAATGCTACCTGGCATATTTGCTGCGCCTTACCTTACTCCAGTCACGTGTTTGCGTTATCTTAGCAAATGCTGGCTTAGGAACACACATTTGTTGAGATAATACGTCTTTCCGCCCTGTTATTAGCTGTCTCTGCAGCAGAAGAATATAGAAAACAATAACACTGTGTATAATGCTGATATGATTCCATGTTAACTACCACACTCTATGCAAAAGTATTAAATCATGACAACTCTTGAGTATAACTTATCATATATTATATATTAATTGAAGACAATATACTACAAACTAATCAAGGAAACAGTATCAAAGGTAAGTCCAAAGTATAAGTAAATATGACTTCAAAGTTTCCAATAATAAATTTGAGATAATAAATCTTTCTTCCTCCAAGTCAGATGCAAAAGCAATGTGGCAATTCCTGTGATAACGCAGTTTCAGTCATCTCACAGCAGTTCCTGTGATACGCAGTTCCAGTGGTCCCAACATGCAAGCTGGCTAATGGAAACCATGTTTCGCCAAAGGCCATTTCAAGACTAGAACCAGTTTCAGTTTCAATAACAGATCAATTCTTTTACAAATCAGTAAAATTCAAAAGGGGCAATCATTGAGATTTTGGAAACTGGTAGGAGCTTGCCCATTTGATTTGATCACAGGAATTGTCACATTAACTTTGCCTTTGCATCAAACTTGGAGGAAGAAAGAATTATTATCTTGAATTTATTATTGGAAACTTTGGAGTAATATTTACTTATACTTTGGACTTACCTTGGATATGTTCTGTTTCCTTGATTTTTTGTAGTATATTGTCTTCAAATAATATATATGATAAGTTATACTCAAGTGTTATCGTCTTTAATATTTTTGCATAGAGTGTGGCAGTTACATGGAATTTTATCAGGATTATACACAGTGTTATTGTTTTGTATCTCACTTTCAGTGGGTTTGTTATTGTGAGTCATGTCGCAGAGGAATATAGAAGCAATAATTACAAAAACTGAACAATTAGAAAACAGAGGTTGTTAGTTAAATGGCTTTTGGCACTAAGTGTACTGAAGATATGCAAAGTGTTATGCACTAAATCTTAGGTGTGTTTTTCACTCTGTAGACTTGAGGTTGGCAGGGACGGGACAGAGTTGCTTCAGAACATTTTTACTGCACTCCATGGATTATCAACTGTAATTAATACATTATTTGTACATTACTCTTCCTCCAAAAATTCAGGGCAATGAACAATCCCATTTTATCCTTCCAGCAACACTGTGAGATAGAGTGAGAGGTAACGATTTGCTCAAAGCCTCCTAGTGAATTTCATGGATAAGTAAATATTTGAGTCTACTTCATCTAGTGCTCTGTCTACATGTGGGCTTCTTATGACATGGACACAACATAAAGGCAGATGGGATTGATTTCGTCATGTCAAAACTCTTAGGGTAAAAGGTACAAAATACAAGGGGAACACTCTGCGCAAGATGCAGCAAAATTGAAGGTTCTTGTGTACATCTTTGGGTGAGATCTTTCTATCCTTGCTTCTTGAGGTGTTTGACACTTCAGAGTGAAACTTCATCAGATGTGTTCCTTACAATGAGAAGCTCTTGAGGAATGGGCTGGGTCTGTAGTAAAGTCAGACCTACTGTGAACTGAGCTTTGAGGAGGGAATGTATATCACACTCTACCACAGACACCAATCTGTAGTTTTTGTTTCTTTCCCTCCTCCTAGCTAACCATGACAGGTTCAACCCTAGTCAGTCTTCAACATACTCCAATGAGGGACAGACCTACACACTGTCTTATGGAAGTGGGAGCTTGACTGTCATGCTAGGTTATGATACAGTGCAGGTAAGTGCCCCATGCAGACACTCGTCTTTAACGGTGCTGCTCTGGAAATACTCAGACTGTGGTCAAATTAAAAATATCAGGAATCCTTGTCAAATAAGACAGGCCCCGGTCACACGGGCCGGCTATCGCGGGAGGGAGGCGTGGCAAATTGCCCCGGTGCAGTTTGATCCACGATTATGCGATCAGACACACCGGTGGCACACCACGGGTCCTTCCCTCGGTGCCGGTGCGTAAATGAGGGGCCGGAGGGGAAAGCCGCACGCCAGCGCGATCACACCACGGGCATCCGGAGGCACCCCGTAGCAAACCGTTTGCCAGTACTTTGGAGGTACTACTTTTTTTATCGCGCGTTTTTGGTGGTAAGCCACGGGTTGGCAATGGGTGCGCTCTACTTCCCAGATGTTGGAGTGTGATCGTGCACGGATAATCTGCCCACCACCCGTGGCTCTCCCGCGGCAAATTCGCCGTGTGAACGGGGCCACAGTTTCACTTCAGAAAACTACGGTGATTTGAAGATACTTATCAAGCAGAAAAGAAGGACTCACAAGACAAAAATTGAAGTTTGTTGCTTGTGCTATTTAGGTTCCACACTTCTGAGGCTCAGACTCAGCCAGGATTCATTCTTTCAAGTTAGAGTTGCCAACAGTCTGGAGAAAGAAAAATGTCCTGCCCCTTTAAACAACATTGCATTAAGCCTCTGTTAAAGGGTCAGGACATATTTCTCTAGGTCGTTGGCAGCCCTCCTTCAGGCACTGAGCCTGTGTGGCAGCTTAAAAATACTGTGAGCTTTGTGGAGTGGGGTTATTTGTTTGCATGTTCTTTACAGGTGTTTTGCAGGGGTGGGCAAAAAAGCTGTTGAAGCCATTTTGTCATCGATACAGTACTTGAATTATGGGGGGGGGGCGGGGGGAGCAGACAGTGGCCCTTACTGGACTTTTCCAGCAGAGAATCTTCTGGGGAAGGGATTTCATTGCATAGGAGGGCAATGGTGCACAGCAAATATTATTCCTTTCACTAATTAACCCTTCCCCATAGTTCAATCACTGAGTTGGAAAATCCAAACAGTATCTCCCCCAACATACACACACACTCACAGAGTACATGCTTGACATTCACAATTAGTGGTGCACACATTATTGTTGCTACTACAAAGATGTACAAAAGTCAATTACCTGTGTTCCACTACCTTTCTCTCAAGTTTACACACTAAAAATCAGTTTTATGATCAGTCATTCATTTTGCAGAACAGAATGAAAGAGAGCATGCTTATTAAATACATATAATAAAATTATGATAAATGATGTTAAGTAATAATAAACAAGGGATCTGCAGCCAAAAAATTAACTGGTTAATATAAATCAACATAAGACATTTAGTACCACATACTACCCCACTGCCTCTTGGCCCTCACTGCCCTGTTAGAATCACTGAGTTACAGTGCTCTGATGACTGAGGAATTATACTCAAGCATCTAAGAGCAGCTATGCTGAATCACACCAATGGATCCATCTAGTGGAGGATCATGTTTCATACACTGGCCAACCATATGCTCTCAAAAGACATTCAAGCAGAGCATGGAGACCAAAGCCTCATGCTGTTTTTACCTCCAATACTGATATTTAAAGGGTTACTATCTCTGAAAGTGGATGTTCCTGTTTATCCTCATAGCTAACAGCCATTGATAGACATACCCTCCATGAACTGGTTTAATCTCATTTTAATGGACAGGTAGTTCTAGGGCTATTGGGACAGACACAAGGTTGAAGCTCGCTATGAAAATATAAAAAGCAGCATTAATTCAAATCTCCCTACAACACTAATCAGGACATGTGGGTCCCTTGTCAGGGCAAGAGAAGAAGTTAATTTTATTTATTTATTTGATTTGTATCCTGCCCTCCCTGCTGAGGCAGGCTCAGGGCAGCTTACAAAAATATATTGAACAACTAAAATACAAAATTCAATAAAAACAACAAAATGATTATAAAACATAGCATAAAGTGCTAGTGCAGATTCATAACCGATGGTGGGCATTAGCAGTGTCCAACATTAACCCATAATCAGCTAACATCATAGTCTGGACAGGTTGTTAATAGTGATGTTAATACTGATGTTGGTATTGGGGCCAGGGCCTCAATTTATTGATGGCAGCTCCCTTATCAAAGGCTTGGTGGAAGAGCTCTGTCTTGCAGGCCCTGCGGAACTGTAAAATCAAAATGAAGTACCTCATTTTGTTACTTTTAAACTCATAGGTACTGCAGGTAATGATACTTGTTGAATTCTTCATAATAGTTGCTTTTCACCACAAGGGAAATCCATGTTCTTCTCTCTCCCAGGTCCAAAATATTGTAATTGAAAACCAGGTGTTTGGCCTTAGTGAGGATGAGCCTGCCAGTCCCTTCTACTATGCCAATTTTGATGGGATTTTGGGGATGGCTTACCCTGCCATGGCTGTAGGGGGCTACACTGCCATGCAGCAGATGCTGAGGCAAGGACAGCTTTCTGAACCAATCTTCAGCTTCTACTTCTCACGGTAAAATACATTTTTTAAAAAAATAGGGAATATAATGGCTTAATCTAGAGCAGGGGTGTCAAATATGTGGCCTGGGGGCCGGATCAGCCCCCCGGAGGGCTTCTTTCAGGCTCGCAGTGGAACTGTCTGTCTTCTGCTTCTTCTTCCAGTGCTGTTGCTGCTGCATCATTGTAGGTTTGCAGCTTACAGATGCACATCTGAACAGCACACTCACGACTGCAACAGCACAGACATTTTGATGCCGTAATTCAGAGCAAGAGGTGTCAGTTATCAGACACTGTTAAATAAACAAAATATTGCAAGAGTGCTAGTGTTTTAAGCATGTTTTTATTTTAAGTTAAAAAACCCCTTTGTGTATGTGCCCTTTATAAAGTTTATATCTCTGCTACCTGGCATTTTGTGACACATATGGCCCTGCCCAACAAAGTCTCATTTATGTCAGATCCGGCCCTCATAACAAATGAGTTCGACACCCTGATCTGGAGTAAACAAAACTGAGTGGGGCTGTGGCTCAGTAGCAGAGCATCTGCTTGGCATGCAGAAGGTCCCAGGTTCAATCCCCTGCATCTCCAGTTAAAGGGAGGAGGTGATGTGAAAGCCCTTCACCCGAGACTCTGGGGAGTCACTGCCAGCCTGAGTAGACAACACTGACCTTGGTGGACCCTCAAAGACCCTCGTTAACTGGGCTGGGGAGTGAAAGAACCCTCAAGTGTATATCATTTCTAGTTTCCTTAGGGTGCTTAAGGGAGAAGAGTCTAAGGAGGGACTAGTTGGGATTCAGAATCCAGTCAGACTTCACTGAGTGTGTGTGTGTGTGTGTGTAGAAATATTTTTGAACCAGTCAAACAACATCCTAACGTCTCTCACAGTATTTAGAAGGGTTTAGTCATTGTATATGTTCTCTATTATTATGACTGCCTGCCTATTTTAAAGAAACATATTTTAGGGTTTATTGTTTATATTATTTCTGCCTGAATTTTAAGAAGCCTTCAACAGTGTTAATAGTGTTCATATTGGGAACTTTTGGGCTGCCAACTGTTTGGTTCATATTAAACCTTTAAAACCATTTCCCCATTTACCTGCCTTTTATAAAGAATAAATCTTTCTTCTTATTTTATTTAAAACCACACTATCGGTGCCATTCTTTTATATCTGTCAGGAAAGGTTTGGGCTCCTGAGGTAAAAGAATGACAGAAGTCATATAGGTCCCCTTTACCAGAGGGAGAAGGATATCTCACATCATGTATGCGGAAAAACTAGAAGGGATGTTCTAATTGGGCCTTGGTCAGATTTCTGAATTGACAGATGGTCATGCAGGAAGGTTGCTTTTCAATTGCACTTGAATCTTCTGCATTACAAATGCATGTGGGCCTAAACTAGTGCTCCCTGGTTCTATTCTTGAGAATTTGATCCTTGGAGTTGATTTATTTTATTTAGGTTATTTATAGTCCGCCTTTGTCATGGAGGTTCAAGGTGGATTACACAGTGCAAATCAAACATAATCCACAGGATGGGACATCCAATGAACTGTACAATAGGGCTGGATTACAGAAATCTGAAAAGAAACAGAAGTCTAAAAAGTTTGGTCTCAGAGAATGGGGGTTGTTAAGGTGTTCCAAAATAAATTGTGCTTAATCTTCTTATTTTATTCTCTTTATCTGTCCTCTGCTTTCTGCTCTCCTTTTAGACTTGCTCTGGTACTCTCTGCTCTCATATTCACACATATAAACCTTCACTAGGTTAAAAGATGAATAGCTAACCTCATTGTTTTGACTTTCTTTATCCAGTCAACCGACTGTTCAGTATGGAGGAGAATTGATCTTGGGAGGTGTTGATACTCAGCTCTTCTCTGGGCAGATTTCCTGGGCACCAGTCACCCGCGAGGTTTACTGGCAGATTGGCATTGAGGAGTAAGTGAAAGTCACAATTCCCATTCTCTCTGTGCTTTGAACATTTGTTGGTATATCACTTTTCAGATGATAAAGAGGGATTTTCTGCAGAAGGGTATAGTGTTATTCCTTTTTGACATTTTAAATTGTGGTTTGGGAGGAGAGAACTAGTCTGGTTGGATATTTGAAAGGAAGGCAGTATCACTTTCAGGGTACTAAAGGTGTGATCCAGCTAATGCTAGCCACTCTTAAATCCTGTTAATTTCAATAAAAGTTTTAAGCATGTGCTGGATTTTGCCTGAAACAACAACAGCAGCAATAATGATAATTCAGACAAGTTTCTTAAAGGAATTACAAGAAAGGAAACTCAAGAATGAAAGAAGAAGGGCAAACCTCAGGAAGAAATATCAGTTAGATATAAAAACACTAGCCCAAATTGCAGAATAAATCAAACAAAGAATTGCTGCAATATCCAAGAAGATCAAGAGGTACAACAGTAGGATCTAGCAATACAGACAAAATTCCAACTCCGCTGGATTCTTTCGGCCAGACTACAACAACAGGAGTTGGTTGGGCGAGTCCGGTTTTCGCCCGGGCCACGGGAAGGAGACAGCACTGGTCACCCTCACAGATTACCTCTAAAGGCATCTGGATCGAGGCGGATTGGCGGTGCTGATGTTGTTGGACCTGTCAGCGGCGTTCAACATGGTCAACCATCAGTTACTGGTCTACTGCCTTGCCAACATAGGAATCCAGGGGCTTGCCTTACAATGGCTCGCTTCCTTTCTCCAAGGTCGGGGACAAAGGGTGGCACTAGGGGAACAGCAGTCCAAGAGTCCCTGTTTTCTCTGATGTTATTTAACATCTATATGTGCCCCCTTGCCCAGATTGCCTGGAGGCATGGGCTGGGATGTCACCAGTACGCTGATGACACCCAGTTCTATCTGATGTTGGGTGGCCGGTCCAACTCCCGACTGGTGGGAGATCACTCAGAATTAAAACTACTCACCAGATGGCAGAGATCAGCTCCCCTGGAAAAACGGCTGCTTTGCAGGGTGGACTCTGTCATTATACCCTGCTGAGGTCACTTCCCTTCTGCTTGAGTCTCCACTGCAGAGAAAGACTGTACTTTTCCTAAGTAGAGGCTGTGGGTGAGGGGGGAGATGGAAAGTTTTCCTAGGTAGAAGAGATGGAAACCTGAAGTCAGAGGGGCAGATAAAGGTACATTGATGGTTGGCTGGGATGGAAATAGGGTTGCTGCCTCTGGGTTGGGAAATTCCTGGAGATTTGAGGGGTGGAGGTTGGAGATAGTGGGGTTTGAGGAGAGGTGGGACCTCAAGGAGGTACAAAGCCATAGACTCCACCCTCCAAACCAGCCATTTCCTCCTGGGGAACCATTGCTGCCAATCACCAGGGGAGGGCTGGAGATCACTCAGAATTACAACTGCTCTTCAAATGGCAGAGATCAGTTCCCCTGGAGAAAGCGGTAAGCTATGTGTCATTATACCCTGCTGAGGTCACCACAGCAAACTGACACTGAGTGCCCAAGGCCAGGGCCACCCAGAGCCTCTTTCTAGAGCTCGTTGTATTTATTTCCACAATGGACCTTATTCCTAGTATGTATGTATGTGCATGCATATGTGTATATATATAGGATCCCCCCTTCTTATTGATTATTGGGAGTTTTATATTTTTCTCAACTCTATCTGGCTTTGTCGCCAAGTTTACTCAAAGGCAATATTTGTTCTTGTCTCTACAGGTTTGCAATTGGAAGCCAGGCAACTGGCTGGTGCAGCCAAGGTTGCCAAGCAATTGTGGACACTGGTACATGTCAGCTTACTGTCCCGGGACAGTACATAGGAAGCTTCCTACAAGCTGTAGGAGCAGAACAATACAATGGGGAGGTAGGTGAAGGAGGACATCTACTATCCATTTATTGGCTGAGGGGAGGAGGTATGCTAACTTATCATCAGAAATTTAAGTTCTTCACCACAGGTGTTGCTGTGTGTGCCCTCACATCTGCAGGCTAAGCAGGGCAGCAATTGAGACAGGGCCTTTTCTGCAATGGCACCTGAGTCATTGAACACTCTCACTAAAGAAGTTTCCCTAATGCCAAATATATCAACTATTAGCCCTGAGGCAACGATGTTTTTATTATCATCTAAGGTTTTAGATCCCACCCGTTTCTGTTATCATTGTCCTGCTTTTATCCCATGATACTTTTGAAAAGTCTTTATCTCATTTTATCTTTAGGCAGTTTTTATTGTTTTGTTGTATTTTGTCTGTTTTTGTTCTTACTATCCCTTTATCTTGTTGGTTTCTGTTTTTAAGAATGTTTAGTGTTATAAACTACCTCAAAGTGGGATTTAAATATCATTAAATAAAGAAATGATATTGAGCAGAGTGAAGTCACACCAAAGATAATGGCCAAGCAAGCAGACTGAATTAAAGAGACGTGAGATCATCTCCTCCATAATCATTAGACTGCTTGCTGCCTTTGGGAACAGAAAGCTAGGCTAGACGAACATTGGTCTGTTCTGCATAGGCTATTCTTATATCTGTGAGCAAGGCAGCTGGGAGAGCTGCTGTGCATAGGATGGGTACATTTATTTATAGTAAGGCTTCTGCCCTCAGAATTGCACTGAAATGTTTTATCAGTCTGTTTTTGGTGAAGTATTGATCCAATGAATGTCTCTTCTAACCTTCTCCCAGAGTTAACCTCCTTTTCATATTTCTTCTTTCATAGTATGTTGTTAACTGCAATGATGTCCAGAACATGCCCACCATCACTTTTGTCATTAATGGATCCCAGTTCCCACTGCCTCCTTCTGCCTATGTCTCCAGTGTATGTATACCATGTTAACTTAATTCTCCAATGAATGTTTTAAGCAAGATTCTTTGAGTGTCCAAGACTTTATGACAATTTCACTCAGTTCTAATGACTCTCTATAATGGGACTTCTGTTTAAGAAATAATAGCAAATGTAACTGTTATACAGGGGTGCCATCTCTTTATTTGAGAAAACTGTTATTCTGTTACCCGGATTTTTCTTGTGGTCATCTCCTTGAGGTAATTAATTTTGCATTAATGTGTCATTCAGTTCTGAATTCTTTCCTTCAGT